GGGATCCTCTGAAGGTCAGGAACATGGGGAAAGCTAAGCAATCCCTGGCTGCTCTCTGGGCCACAAACCTATGGTGACTGCCTGTCCCTGTATGCATGTACTGATTCTAATTTTTGATGGAAATGTAAATTTCTTCTGAATGTCAAGATTTCACTTTATCTTTACAATAATATACATCAAACTTGTCTAATCCAGACACACCTAACACTTTCTATTCTAAAAAGCTTGATGTAATATGAGGAAAAAGTATTTCTTTTTATACCAGAGTCTCTTGTAAGCAGTTATTCTTAGCAGATCATCTTGTCTTTCTGAGTTGGTTTCATTTACACCCAATTTAAAAAAAAAATCAAAATTTTATATGTGTTGGTAGATAATTGTAACTCTAATGTTGTTGACATCCTTCCTAGCTGTACATCTATATAAGATTTGGCAGGTTTTTTCCCTTTAAAAACAACATTTCTCTTTAGTCATTTCAGTGTTGTCTGGTTGAAGATAAAGAGTTGAAAAGAAAAAGCTACAGATAAAGAAAAACTTGGACTTTAGAAAAGTTGGGCATTACTGGAGGTGGATGCTATGTTGTAAGAGGTATTTTAAAAATAATTCTGTATGTGTAGTTTGTGCAGGCCAAAATGTAGAATGCCTTAAAGTACAGCTTCAGAAACGCTAGATCTTGATGAAAGTGTTGGAAAGACTTCTACAGTCACTGTCAGTCAGCCTGTGACCTGCTCAGATTCTAAGCAGAGCAATGATCACAAGTGAGCATTCATCCTTGAGATGAATACAGTAAATTCAGGAGGGAGATGTGATCTAGTGAGGAAATGTGGTACTTTGCTCTTCTCAAATAAAACTGAGCAATATAATCTGACTATGAGTAAGATCTATACCCCCTAGCAGAAGAACACATCAAAGCTTTTTATGGCTACTACAGTTAATTGGACTATTCTAAAGATCTGTATATCAATCAACAGGCAAGAGTCTCCTTTAACTATGTAATAAGCAGTGAAAAGCATAAGTTCAGGTATCTAATTCTCTGTAAAACATTTGTAGGCTCCTCAACTAGTGAAAAAATCTTAATAGAAGTTCATTTAACCAGCAGAGCACTAGAATGTTTAAATTACTCATCACATGGGAGCAGTAAGAGGACTCCCATTATCAGCCTGGCTGAAAAGCTAGCTTGCATGCTTTCCTTCATTTCCTCTTCCTATACCTTTCTAACACTTGGATTGATATTGCATAGCACGTGCACTTGTGAGTCATGTTATGAGTGCAGAGACCAGAGTAGTGTCTGGCAGTTCAGTAACACAAACTGTGCAAATAATGTCACTTTGTGGTGCTGTGACATCTTGTGAAAGAGTAATCAAAGCCTCTTCCTCCTGCTGCTCTTAAATATGACAATAGCCAAATGTCCCAATGCTGAAAATGCTCGAGTCAAAGCAGGGCCTTATAACAGGTCAATTATTTCAATTATCTGGAATTCATGATGAAAAACAGCAACAGCTTTCAGGAAATATGCACGAGTCTGGCAACTGCTTGATCAGCTATGACACTCACTGCCAAATAACATGTCCCATCAGGTTTTGCAAGGGGAAAGCTTGAAACAGGTGGAATATTTTAGTTACCTATGCTCCATGACAGCCCAGTTCTCAAGAGATCTAACAGGCTGCCAATTGCTTGATTAAGTATGACATCACTGGCAAATATCACAAGGTAGTAAGTAACGACAGTATAGGCAGAAAGCAGTACATAGAGCAGATGGATTGCTTCAATTATTTGGGATCCTTGATGAATAAGAACTTCAACTGCCATCAGCAGATCCTGTGGCAGGCGAGTACTAACTGCACTGCTATGACATCACTTTAAAATCTGGTGTGGCTTAAGTGTTTCAACAGCTGGAAAGCTCAGATTTGTCTTAGCACTGGCTTGACCTACAGCTGGCTTTAGTGCTGAGAGGGGAACACTGAGAAAATTGTTTGTGAGTGCTTCCAAGCACTTCATGGCATTTCACAGTTTGTTTTCACACTGCAAGGAGAACATTGACCCAGCCCCAAGCTTGCTGTTGGCACCTTTGGATTTTTTTTTTTTTTTTTTGGTACTGCATTTTCCAGGAGTCAGCTGGGGAAAACTGAGAACTACTTACTGTCAGTGCCAGGACAGAAAGCAATAGCTTAGATCTGTTTATAAATAAATTTAGGAAGGCCTCAACATCCAGAAAATGATCCTTAATTGCGTAATATACTAGGTCTAATATCCGATAGGCCTGAAATTTGTTGGGGGGAAAATGACATAAAAGCATGCACCCTCATTTTGTCTTCGGTCTTCTTCTAGCCTGCTGCTCACACAATTATCTTTAATTTCTCTTTTACACTTGTCTTGATGTTAAAACAAGCTTATGATTTTTGCTTTTACAAGAAGATACACTGTACCTTATATCCTATCCCCTTTCAGATAAAAGTTATTTATTGACTCTGATGCACAGAAAACTAGATTACACATGAAAACCTAAAGAACAAAGGACACTAAAGAATTAATGAACTTGAGACAACTAGGGTTGTTGTTTTCTACAAACCAAATCCCATCAGAGTTTTACCAGATTTAAAATCTGATATCTGCTTTGTTCAGGCCTTGAAGGCAGAATAGAGAGGGAATAGGAAGCTTCTGTTTGAGCTAATACAACTTGTTATCATCTTTCAAAAAGTTAATGTTATAAAGTACTTGATTTCTGAACCTTTCAGTGTCTTTAAATTCACCTCAGCACAGAATCGATAGAGAAGTATTTTCTGTAACTAATTAGCCCAGTTATGTAAACATAGCATAATGGGTATCGTTTATGTTAGAAGATGGATTTCAAAGAATTTATAATCAAAATTTTAATCCTTTCTACTCTTACACTGAAAAAGTAGATAGAACCATAAAAGAAGAATCCTGAGGGCAACTTAACTGTATTAGTTCCGGAACGATATAAAACACAATAATTAAAGGTTTTGTGGAGGCTGAGGGGGAAAAAAAAAAAGAAAAAGCAACTTCTTTTTCTTCCCCCTCATCTTTCTTTGAGGTAATTAATGAGGGGTATCAATTACATTCCATTCAAGGAAAAAGTAATCCTCATTAATATCCTATATCTGACCTGTTCATTTCCCATTGCAGGGGAAATGGTTTCTAATTTGAGATCAAGAAATGACTTTTGATAGGGACAAATATCACAAACTGATGCAGAAATTTGAGCTTTTTCTCCATTTGCTACTGGTTTGAAATCTGCAAAGTACCAAACACTTGTCACTGTTGGTCATTTCCATTCAAAATTGAATAAAAGTTATGAGATAATCTTCTTGCCTGCTTTTACAACTTTAGTGTAATGACTGACATTTTAATGGCATTCATGTGGTCACTGCTTGAGATCAGCTTTCGTTTTTTTTCTTCCTTTCCTTTAATATTCTGACCATACATTATGTACTGTTAACTGAAAATAGTTCAAACTCAGGTATGGATTTAAGTTGTTACACAGTCTGCTCTTCTATTCACATCAGGTTTATGTCTGCCCTGTGAGTCAGAATATACCTATCTTAAAAATCAAAGACTTTAAAATATTAGGGTTGAATTATACCCTTTCTCACTTGTGATTCACTTAGCTAAGAGAGGAACATGTTTCATGCTTTTCTTGTAACCATCAAAACTTAAAATTTGCTTTAGAGTGAGTTTTTTTAAAGAATGTCCTTCAAAAGCTGCAGATATAGTAGTAGTAAAATTAATTATTTCAATTATTGTAATAAAATAATGAAAATTGACAGCACTGCTTTTAAGGAGAAGGTTTTTTTGGTTTTTGTGTTTTAGTTTCATTTGGTTTTTTTAACTCCAATTTAGTCTTTTATACTATTAAGACAAGACAAAAACAGTTTGTGTTCTAGAAACAGTTTGGGACCCAGTTGTTTGGTAGGGTCTTGCAATAGCAGAAGCTTGGTAACATAAAAAAAAAAATTGAAATTACATTTGCTTTGGGTGAAAGAAGGATATGAAGAGAAGAAAAGAATAAAAAAATAATAAAAGCAAAGAACTCAAGGTGACTGTGGGGCAGTAGGCTGAAAAGGGGCAGGAGATCCAGAATGGGTAGAGAGATTCTGGAGACTAAAACAGTTGTGAATGATGCAGAGGGAGAAAGACCAAGATGAAAATCATAAAGGTGCTCGTGGAATAAAAAGAAGGGTAGCAGGGAGAGGCTACCTGTAGAGAAAAGCTAAAGAAGATATTTGGACAGAAGGAAGAAAGGAAGAGATTAATAAATGGCTCAGGGAAAATATAAAAAAAGTAAAAAGGAAAGAAAGGATTGGAAAACTTCACATATATTAAAAAAAAGGAGATGGAGAAATTTAAGTGATCTAGATGATGTGGAATAACGATGGACAGGTTAAAGAACGGGATTTCTTTGAAATCCAGATTAGCTGACACATTGGGGGTTTTTAAGGCAATCACAAGTTACAATTGCAGGGTTTTTTTGTTTTGTGTTCTATAACATTATCGTGCACCATTAAGTAACTGTCTTGTTTCCATACAGAGGAAACTTTGCTTCTCCCTACTCCAGTAAAGCAATTTAAGTGGATAAAGAACTCCTCATATTCTAGAGCCTTGTATTGAAAGTACTATGTAGTAGTGCAATACACAGATAGGATCTTATATCACAATTTTTATCACTTTAGAAATGTTTTCCCAGGAAAGCTAACAGGCAGTCTTCTAGACAGCTGTCAGCACAGGAGAAAAATATTGTATTTCTATATGTGGTTTTCCAGAAAGCCTATTTCACCTTGGAAACCTTTATCTATAGAGTTGACCAAAACTAGAACGTCAAAAACTATAGGAAAGCTGTTTCAATGTGCTGTGGTTTTAATTGAATTATCTCTGAATCCATTTTGCACCTTTGACACAATGCTGTCATACAGTGGTCCTAGGGATAAAACCATTGAAGATTGTATTTGAAGGAATGAAGATAGTTTTTATTGGTGTTCTTTTAGGATCGACCACAAGGACTGAATAATGCTCCCAAAGAAATACGTTTGGATGAAGATGACTGAACATGCAGATCCAAAGGCCTTTTAGGATATGGTGAACCTTTGGCCTTGGATGAAGAATGTTCTTGGATGAAAGAACTCCAGCTGAAAGACTTTGTCTTTGCCTTTTGCCTTGAGAAATGCAAAGATATGAAAGACATAAAGGAAACAAAGATTTGCAGCTGAATTCTTGCAGGGTGCAGTGACAGTGGCTGACACGCAGCCAGCCTGCCTCAGTATTATGGAATGTCACATGCTTGTATGCCTCACCAGTCTCCTATGGCTCCCCAGAAGCCTCACACACATTTTTATGTTTTTCTGCTTTCTATTTGCAAATTAGATTAGCAAATTTTAATTGCATAGTTTCTGCAGTGATGTTAGCACCTCTGGGATTTATGTGTGTCGTGTTCAGTTCAAAAGGTAAATGCAGAAAATACTTATTATGCTTGGTTCATCAGATTACAATACCATGCTGGTACCTGCAGCTGAATAGGCAGCTAAGTAATAATCTTAGCTTTTCTTCATGGTTAATGACTTGCCTAAGTTTAAAATGGCAAGAGTTCCCTAACTGAGTCAAGGAACTGACATTCACAGTATGGTCAGCCGTGGCTGCCTGGGCATTCGAACAGATTTCTTACTCAAATGTGTTTAACTAAGTCAGTAGGAGGATATCTAGTGACTTTGTACATTTCCTTACTAAATATTCAAGATACTTGAAACTTGATTATACATTTAATTATTTCACTTCTTGAAGTGTCCTTATTTTCACTTTTAACAAGTCATAGCTCTGCTAGACCAATTATGTTTAATATCTTAGAATGACTTGAACCACAGAGTGCTAAGGTTGACCTTCAAAATGTGTCTGTATACAGACATATCACCTAACCATGTTAGTTACCTGAGTAATTCTGCTAATGTGTTGAAAAACAATTACTACATACAGAGAAATACTGTACCAAAGTTAAAGGGCTTGCTTTGCCTTTGTCTGTCCTTGAATCAATCCACATGGAGAGAGGTTTAGTGATTTTCACTGTCTTGGGTAGAATTATTAATTCTCCTGTTTCCATACCAACTCCCATGCCACAGTACCTTTTGTGCCAACTGGGCTTGCTTAGTAGGTCTGCAAGAATTTACAGTATCTCTGATCTAAAATGTGACCCCTAGCCTATGTAGTCACCACATGTCTCAAAGGACAGACCTGAACAGAAACTATTTAATCAAAAAATGCATCCTCCTCCAGGGTAGCTTAGGTGAGCCAAGATGAGGACATATTAATTTAATTCTCTAAAATGCCCTCTGTAAATTAAAGTCTTTCTTCACCAGCTCTGTTTTTTCTTGCCCTCCCACCTGGTCTAGCTTTACAAATACAGTTCTAGAAGCTGTTTTGAGCCAAGAAGTAGACTTGATAATAGGGACACTGCCTCTTAACAAGCCTTAGCTTTTGACCTGAAGGACTGGGAGACATGAGCCTATCATCATTATTGGTTTTACTTGCTTGTCTTTTGCATCTCTCTGTATCTCTTCCTCTCCCCCTGTTTTCTGGCCTTAACTATTCATAAAAATTGTGCATGACTATTGGAAATGTCAGCTGTTGCAGGGTCTCTTTTCCAGCCTGATTAATATGAAATAATTCCTATTGAGGTATATATGTGTGTGTTCATGTGTGCAAGTTGTTAATATAAGCTGCTACCAACTTGTAAAAATGCATTGAGATCATTGGAATGTGTGTATACGTAAAGCAAGCTACAACGTAAGATTTCTAGATGCTGGACAGTTAAACTCCTTTGTTTATCACTGATTCTTAATGTACTGATGCTGTTTTGTTACTGAACTAATAAAAAAAACCTTTACCAATTTTTTTTTACTATTGAGTAGTGTGTATGGCAAAGAGGTCCAGAGTGTTTCTCAAATAGGACACAAAATACCAGAAGATATGTCTGGCTTGACCAAAGCAACATGTTTTTACAGTAATCATGGCTCAAAACCAGGTAAAGTCAGTCATAGGTTAACTTAAATATCTATATAACTTAACTTTTCTTCTCTATTGGCCACCATTATAATTGAGCAACATTTCTGATTTTACAAATTTCTTCATTTCAGACAATGTTTTTGTGTGGCTGTGAGCTTCTCCTAAGATTGAGTCTACTCCTATTTCTGTGCCAGCAGGGGAATATTTACTTCTTTTACGGAGTTATTTTCCATGTGATTGTTCTAAAGAATTTGCTGAAGACAACAAACCAGAAAACTTTGCTGGTTAGATATGTGACTTTCAGTCCGGGTTACTGCTTTTTATTTCTGATGCTAGAGCTACCATGTTCTTTACAGATCTGTTGCTGGTCCCAAGAGGTGAATAATAGTCAGATTAGACCACAAGATGTTTCCTTTTTCATGTGTTTTCTAGATGTTCCCCTTATTCACTTTTTTTTCACGTTGTTTTAAGCATCAGTAGTGTGGTTGTGTGGCAAAATCTGGTGTGCATTCGTCTCCTAAGTCACTTGTGTAGCTTCCTCTCCCTTTGATAGAAGTTCCCATGCTTATTTACCAATAGTCTACCTAATTCAAAGCACTATAAATCCATGATATAATTTAAAAGGAACATTACAGGGAGAATTTCTAAATAATCCTGTGTGTGAGGATTTCTCATATATTTCCTGTTTGAGCACATGCTGAGAAGTTCCTTACTTCAATCAGCTCTGATAGGTCTATCTTCACACAGAAAGGATATGGGAAAAAAACTTTTATTTGGTGTTCTTCTTGTCTTCTTTCTTTTTCCTTTTCTTTTTCTTTTTTTTCTTTTCTTTTTTTATCTTTTTGTTTCAGGAGGGGTACATAATAATCCCTTGTGACTTCCATTGTATCTGAACTTCTGTGTTTGACTCTTGATTAGGAGGTAGAAAAATCCTACTTTGTATACAAGATGAGACTCAGCTTTTGTTTAGAAACACTGAGCCAACCTTAAGCAAATTTATATGGTGGCTTTCTTTTTGCTCCTGTTTGCTTTTGTTTGTCAAAGAAAAGCATAAGAGGTGACATATCTACTCCACACAGAGTAGATGCTTGGTATTGGGGATTCATTTATCATGAAGACATAACATAACAAGATCCTGAGGCCGAGCCTGAAAGTCAGAGAATTTGATCAGGAAAGATGATGCACATTTTCAGAAGCCAAAGTATTTTATTATTGGAATGCATCATTCTGGGAATATGATAGATTTTCCATTAGTGGAAGTCTTTGATCAAAACTGCATATCTTTCTAAAAGAGGAACCGTCTCAAGAGCAAGCAGCTAAGTCTGATACAAAAATTACTGAATGAGGGAAGTTTGCCCTTTTCTTTATGCAGGATGAGTCAGATATGAGTACCATAATACCACAAACAGTAGTATTGTAGAACAGTGAGATTTGACTTTTGCTACAGAAGTGGCACTTGAAGAAAATTATTAAAATAGAGCCTAAAGCAACTACATTTCATGCTGCTGGCATCAGAGAATGTGTGTGAGAAATGTTATAGTTAACTTTGTTAAGAGTAACCTTGTGTCCATGCAATCTCAGTAATGTCTGATGAGGCAGACAGATGCCTTTGTGTAGGCAGAAGACTTGAAAAAAAAAAATTGTAACTGCTTTTAGCTTCACAGGTCAGAACTAAATGTGTACAGGGATGATGTTACTGTGGAATTTCTTCTTTGGTGGCTTACCAAGAAAGACTTGGGTTTTAGGTCCTTTTCAGTCTGAAATGTTTAACCCTAACTGTCGGAAGAGGGACACAGCTATCATGGAAATAAGTATGTTGTATGGGTTTTATTATTTGGTGGAGTGGATGGTGCTCCTCAGGCTAGTGCCTGTGCCGTGCTTTTTCTGAAGTGACAGCTGAGGCCTAAAGCAGTGGCACCCCTGCTCCAAAAAAGGCTAAATTGCCTGGATTTCAATTGGATGTGTCTACAGGATTCCCACTAAGTAGAACTCTGCTATCACATGATGCATGTTACGGTATTAAGTCATAGACTCATCTTTACCTCTGCTAGATTACAAACACACTATAGCCTTGGCCCTGCATAAGCTTAATGCCTGACAGAAAAACTCCCTTTGGAAATTATGGAGATTTTGTTTTAAATTAGCCAAATTAGACAATTAATTTTGCAAACTGAGACGTCTTGTGAGTGTTTATGTACTATCATAGTCTTCCCATTATAGTATCTTATTCTTCATAGTTCTTGTTATTGATGTGGTTAATTAAAATCTTTAATAAATAATCTTAATATAAGTAATACAAAACTTGCCTTTGTCAGAAATTAGGCTATTTTCAAATTTTTATGTTTTTCACAGGCATCCTCATATAATTTCTGGTTGTTTTCCCAATTTCAGAGATGTTCTAGGGGTGGTTTTCTTTTTCATTCCTGGACCTCTGTGATGGTCACTCATCTCCCAGATCTTACTGATCTTGCTTTTTTTTTTTTTTTTTAGTATGTGTGTCTGATTTGTGCAGAGACAACTGGAACTGGAAAGATTCTGCAGTGCTCAATGCAGTTTTGTCTTTCTGGGACAGAAAGCCTTTCGAGGCTTCAGAGATGAAGTTAGTATGTTATAGGCCTTTCCTTAGCATGGTTTTGACCTCTTTTAATGAATATCTGTGGATTGGTCTTTTAAGCAGTGCTGTTACTTGCCTTTCATCTCTTCGGCTTCACTTTTGCAGCCTTAGTTTTTAGCTAGGAGATATCAGAGAAATGACCAGGTGATGACTTTGTTTATGGTAATCTTTTCTCCTACTACACCTCTCTTCCTGGAAAAGTTGGAACCTTTTATTTATCTTGTGTATCATTTTATTGTGGAAGTCTCTTACTGTAAATGTGGTCACATTATTAACTTTTATTGATAAATGTCCAATATTCCTCCTTCTGATAGGAGCCACTCTGCTTTCATGAGATGCTATTGCTATGTGATGTGGGAGGAAGGAGAGAGAGGGAGAGAGCAAAAATAATGTGCAGGGAATAATTTTCCTTTGGGAGTCAGGGAATGATTTTCCTTCATTGCAGTACTGAAAGAGACAATTTGCTCCTAGATACTTTCTGCAGGCAAAGTATGAACCGTAAAACGATCTTGACACCGGTATGAAATGGAGAAACTCTGCTGGTCTCGTTGTCCCTTTCTTCTGTTGTCCCACATATGCACATCGTGTCACAGGCAGCTTTCAAGACAAAGTCTTCTAGGGTGTATGAGACTAGGCTGCAGTTCTGAAATAAGTCTGTAATTCTTCTTCTTTGTGTGTTGAGCTTTGTAACAAGCCTAGCTACCTCCTTTTTATTAGAGATGTCACGTTTTAACATTTCCTCCTTTGTACAAACTTCTGTGTTCTGTTGCTCTTCAACAATGCTTCAAAAACCTCCAAGGTCCATTCCAACCCCTTAACATTCTATGATAAGTTCTTAGCTATGATAAAAAAAGGTGTGTACTTCAGAGCCCGACACCTGAATTATATCATGTTGCTGCTTCCAAGTAAGAAGGGTAAAATAGAGCTTTTAAAACAGTAGATCTCAGACTTGAATATTGTGATTTTTTTTTTTTTGTAAGTACAGTTACTATTATCTGGAAGCTTTGTATGGGGTCTTGGAGGGCACTCTGAAGTTAGTGTACAGATTTGGGGAAAGAATGTGTCCACATAAATTCTATCCCATCTTTTCCATGGAAGTTTCTACCAAATTTTTAGGTATTGCTCTGCCAATTTCAGCATTATTTTTGAATATTCTGAGGTGGGATGGCAGAGGAGGACCTTGTGCTGGTTTATGACTTAGCTTATATCTAGTTATAGATTTTTATAGATGTGAAGATCACAATAAGATGTGAAGTGTTTTAATGACCATGAATTAGTAGATTTTTTCCCCTCTCAAGAAAAACATCTTCAAAAGTCATTGTTCAGACTGAGATACAAGCACTTTTGTAAACCTTATTTTTTCCTATTTTTATTTTTTATCCACTCACCCCCACCTCACCTCTCAAGATATCATTGCCTTCTCACAAGAATATTTACTGTGCGAAAAAATATCCACAAGGAGAGAGGCTAGAAGTGGTAGTGAAGTGATAGGCTTCATTTTGTACCAAGTCGTACACAATTTAGTTTTCAGATAACACAAAAAACCCAAAAAACCCAAAATGCAATATAAGTTGTCAAAAAGCTGACACTCTAAATACCAGAAAATATTAACATCTATTGTCAACAAAAATACAAAGTATGAATCATTCCATCTCCATGACACATTTCTGAACTGCTATATACAGCACAAACTATAGTGTTTGATGGTATCAGGGATAATAGTACTTGAGTTCCTCTCTGAGCACCTACCATTGATGCTAAAATGGTTCCATTGTCTTGGCTTACACTATAGAGCTGCAGAAAAAAAAATTATTAAGATTCTGAGGTCATCTTTGCTAAAAATGAAAGCTGATAAAGAATTCTTAATAACTTCAAAGGGAGTTTCATATTTTTAATTACATTCTTATTAAAAAAAAAATTGCATCTCTATGTAAAATTTTGATTTATTTTCTTAGTGCCTTGCAGAATATTTCCAATGTGGCATACCCTTTTTTACCAGTTCAGTTATGCCCTACTCAATCCTGTATTTTAATTCCTTCTGTTGTCAGGTTCCTGATAGGCACATCAGGAATGCTTCCTGTGCTAAGCATCCATGTCGGTCCTAAACAGAGGAGTCAGAAATATGTCAAGAAAGGATAAAATATAAAAATCTTGCCTGTCTGAAAAGCTTATGAGGAATTGTCCTCATTTAGGAAGGCCATCACCTTCTATTTTTCTTCCATTGCCTCTAGCTGGTGGGTCTCCTGAGCTTTGAGGAGAGGGAGGAACAGC